AAAGAGAATGATCGAGTGATTGGGGGCAGAGAGTGAGATAGAGAGAGCGAGAGGAGAGAAATAGCATACTCTGAGAGAGAGAGAGATGAGCTTGAGCTCATTCGATACGCAGAGGAGAGAGAAGACGCTGAGAGAAGACGTTGGTCTCTTTCTCGATTCAAAGACGACAACCACCCAGTACCCCGTCTCTTGTACCCTGTCAGATTGCACGAGAACTGACAACGACAAAGAAAGTGCATCGTGACCATCGAAAAACCCACTTTAAATCAACGCCGTTGAGCCCACCTAAACGGGATGAGCGAGTGGTCTAAGCCCATTTTTTTTCTATATATATATTAATTCTTTGTATTTTTTTTTTTTCAATTTTTTGGATTTTATTGCACAGATTTTTTATCTTGATTCCAAACGATTTTTTTTCCTATATTTATTTACACATATTAAACTATATTAATTTTTTCATGTTTCAACAAAAACTTTTGCAGCTGTGTATGAAAAAAATATAGCTTTCTATCTTACACATAAATTTCGTTTATATATTTGAAATCGTTAACGTTATTTGTTTTTAATATTTAAACGAATTTTTTTTTTTTTTTTAAGATTCTTTACTTTTTTTAATGTGGTTAATTTTATTTTTGTTGGATAATTGGATTTTAGATTGAAAATAGAAGTTATTTTTCAATTTTTTTTTATCTGTCATTTATGGAGCACTAACATAGATTCTCATATTAGATATGTTTTATATCATTTTACTTTTTATAGAATATTTTATATATTCCCTAATATTTAATTTATATTTCCTTGGTATTTAATTTATATTGTGAGGAAAAAAATTTTATTTGTATCTGTTTATTATGGTTTCTTCTTATTTTGTGTTTTGCATTATTAAATTGATAGATCACGATAATTGTTTGACACATATATTTTTTTTAATGTTGATAGTATGTGTATGATTCTACTCTTTGGTATAATTATAGATTAGTGTTTATTGATTTCTCTATTTTTAAAATATTTTAAAATTTGGATGAAATTAATATAATCATTTCATTCATATTGATCACTCAAAGTTATTTTATGAGAAATTTTTAGATTTTATCAATTATTATATTCTTAAATATTATATTTACTATTTTTACGAAAATTTGAAGTATGAACTATAAAAATAGAATATCATCGTACACATCATAAAATAAATTTAAATTCTAAAATATATTCATGTAATAAAAAATTAGATTTAGTCCTTAATATTTTTTATTTTAGATTGATTCGGATTTCATTCCTAGAGATATTTGTCCCCATTTCCATGCAATCTTAATATGCTATCTCTCTAATTGGATTTTTCTCCCTATTTGCATGCACTCTTACTCTTTTTTAATCTCATTAATAGTTTTTGTTTCGTAGATATTTTTCTCTCTCCAATGTTTCTCTCATTGCCTCTACAGAGGGAGACAAATTTTAGTTGTAAATGCAAGTTATGAAGGGAATAATCCCGTGTATTTTAAATACACAGTAACACAATGTATTGGAATATTTTTTGCGGTTCTTTTAAAAAAATACCTTGTGCTTCCCCCCTCTCTCTTTCTTTTCAACCTTGCAGAACATACACCCAAAATGTTGCACTTCTCT